GCTCTGGCATGCTCGAGCCTTGGGAGAGCGATGTCATGCCTCGTCGCACATATCTCGCGTGAGATGTTTGTGCTCGTGAGCGCCGAGGCCCGATGCAGCGTCGAACAGCTGCTCGAAGGCGTCGCGCCCCAGCGCCTCGCCCGAGCTGGGCGAGCGCCCCGTCCTCCAGTCAAAAACGTCGGATCCAGAAAGGTCCGAAATGCAGACTTTAGGGGTCCCCCCACAAGCTCAGGATGGCGCGCGAAGTAGAAATTCCTGTGGCGCGAACAGCGCGTTCACGTAGTGCCAAAGCTGTGGGTGGGGCACCTGGGGCACCGGGGAGACAGGGCGGCGCTGGGGGGCGCGGCGCCAACAATCACCTGGTGGGTCTGGACCAGGATCGACGAGTCGTCGGCGGCTGGTGCGACGTCTTGAGGAATGGGGTCAGCACTCGGATAATCGGAAACCTTGGAAACTCCCTGAGGGCTAAGTTCATGTTCAGTGGCTGGGAGGAGGAAACCGGCAAAGGGGGCCACTATAGTTGGGGTCGCGACAGGGCGGGCGCTGCTGGCAGCGAGGCTCGAGGGTGGGCCGGCCGCAGGCCTGGCGCATCATCGCCATCTCCGGCAACGCTACCAATCTGCGCCCGGGGCCCGCGGAAACCGAGATGGCAATCAAATTCGTCATTGTCCATCGCCGTGCCCTCGGCTTGGGCGGGGGCTGCGGCGCGCGGAGGAGCGCCTGTGAGCTCCGCGTCGGCATGCGCGGGGCAGGGGCAGCCGCCGCTGTCCACGCCGGGGGCGCTGCGCGCGGTAGGGCAGCCACGTCCGCGAGAATGCTCGGAGCCGCCCTTGCGCCAAGTGGGGCCCATGCCGTCGAAGATCCGGCCCGCGTCTGGGGCGTCGCCGAGCAGGTGGGAAATCAACGCGCCGCGGGTTTGACAGCAGGTGGGGGTCGACGCAGTCGTTTGGCGATGCGACCAGGATGGTCTGGTCTCGTCCTGTTGCGTGCGATAGGGATCGTGGTCCATCCCCTGTGGCGAATGCATTCGTGCGCGCGCGCTTGCCGCTGCAATCCCCACCCATCTCCCCGTGGCCATGGGGCCGAAAGGTGTCGTCGCAGGCGCTCGCGAGGCGTGGCCGATGAGCGCCCGCATGCAGATCGCAACTCTTCTGCAAAAGCCCGTCGGCGCTGCAGGTCGGCGAAGCCGCGGGGCCAAGGGCCCAGGGCCAGGTCGAAACGCGGCTCGAAACCCTCGTGCCGCAGCAAGTCAGCAAGTCCGAGACGTGCGGCGCGCGCCGCAGTATCTGGGCATCGCCATCCGTCCTCCAGTCCTCCGAGATAGTTGGAGGCCAAGATTAGACCCATGGCGAGACCTGGTCACGGGGCCCGCGTCGTCGTTGCCCTTGCCTGGGAGGAAGGGGGGCGGCTCCTCTTAGCGTCGCTTGAAGGGGGGGGCCGCCGAGGCGCCATCGTTGCCATGTCTGGGGGGGGGGGGGGGGCTTCGCTCGCAAGGGGGATTCGCGCGGGCGGCGACCGGCCCTTCAGAGCTCCGCGGAACAATCAAGCGACTGGAACCAGAGCTCGAGCACCCACCGCTGGAACATGAAAAACCTACTTCTTGGCAACGCAGCGTCAAGGACATCCCTATCATCGCGCCAGCCTCGCTAGGTAGCGGAGTAAGACGTGGCGACGTTGATCCCGCAGAGGGCCCAGTCGCTCGGAACCCCCGGGAGAAGCATTAACTCTTTCATCGCCGATGCCAAACTCGCAGGGGAAGGGGGGCGACCGGGTGAAGGTCGCTGTCGGCGCGCGGTGGGCGCGAGGAAGAGCGAAGCGAGGCTGCGTGTATGTTCTTGGTGCAATGTTCACTGACGCGTTCGCGCGCCTGCCTTGGTTCCGAACTCGACGGGCGCGGAGTTGGCGGGGGGCGCGAGCATGGTGCCGCAGCATTTTTCTTTTGATTCAGCGGCCAGACTGGCGCCCCAGTCCTGCGAGTCCAGATGGGGGGGCGGCGGCGGGCTACGCGAGTGCGAAGATCACGGAGGTCTCGCTGAACTGGGGCGGGGTCGTGGATTCCGGGATCTGCCGGGGCCTGCGCGCACTGGGCCGGGCGTTATGGAAAGCAGCCTCGGCCGCGCTGCGAGGCCGCGCGCTGGCGGGCGCGCGATGAATCGCATCCACGCGCGCGTAAAAAGTCAAGGCGATGGCGAAGACTCTTTCGCCCGCCAATACGGCTAAACCCA